ATCAAGTAGTCTGGTAGTTTTCAAAAACTACTTCAATTAAAAACCCAACTATAATTCTGGACGAGACTCTTTATTGGTTTGGTAAGTTCTTATCATTATATTTTGCTCTCATCCTTCGATCTGTTCGATAGTCTTTCACTTTGGTTACGATCTGTTGCGCATTATTCAATTCTAGATTGACTGCATGAGAAGGTGCTGAGATTCTTTCCAGTGGCTTTCTTTGTGTTGTATTAACCCCTCTTTTTGAACATGATTCACTTGCTCACTCTCCTGTCTACTTGAGCATACGGTATCCAATGTTAAACATTCAAGGACAGCCTCTGCAAGTTGCACTCGTATAAGTCTTACACAACATATAATTCTTCACTTTGATCTCGATTTAGAGCAGCCTTCTTCTTTTCCCTCTACAGAGAACTAATATTCTCTAGTTAGTCACCATGAGTTCAAGCAATAATAAGATTGGAGCCGGTGTCAAGGCCAACCAATCTAATCCTTCATCCATGGCATCAAGTAATCCTTCTCTCCTACTTGGTAAATTCAATGAACGACGCTCAACACCGGATTCGGAGGCTTTGGCAAGCTCCGATGATGAACCTGACAGACATGACATTCAACAGCCAGTCAATCCACCCCAAAAGCCCCCTGCACGACGGGCCTCATGGTTGAACGACACAAGTCAAGCTGGAACCCAGCCAAGAAAGGGCTCGTTCGCAAGTAACAGCATGTCTCCAACAGCTTCATATCCTAGTACACCCTCGACTGAGTCCAACGTCTGGGGTTCTCATGCCCAAGCAGCAGCAGGTCGTGGACATACAAGCACGAGCTCATTCCCATGGGGCAGTGCTATTTGGAACAGCGAGTCGCGTAAAGAGCCACCCTCAAGATTGACTGAAGTATTACCATCTCCAACTTCTATGCATCCACCAGGCTCAGCTGGCAATGGATACTTTCCTAGTGAAATGATGAGTCAACGAGACCACTCAGCAAATCAACCCATTCCATTCGCAATCCCTCTCCATCCCACTCCTAAGACATACCGATCCCAATCGTACTCCGTCGGTCAGCTCGACCCAGATACAAATGCTGGCCCACCGCCAGCAGCTGTTGCAGCGGCTTCCAGTCGGGGACATAGGATTGGACATTCCGGATTGCAACATCGACCATCCCGGCCAAGTATGTTGAGCGAAATGACCGAGGGCGGTCTTGGAAAAGTTAAGGAAGTCGAGGATGATGATGATGAGAGTACTAACAGCTCTTCCCATGGTGTTCAAATTCAATCTCAAGAAGCCAAGACTATAGAATTACTAGCTAAAGAAAATGCAATGTTACGACAACAGCAACAATATCAGAACCTGCGCCTCCGACCACGATCTTCAACTTCCAATCCTTTCGGCCTTGGCAATGGTTATGGCTTGCAGGAAGAACCTCTACCAGAAGAGTCAGATTATGCAATTGACGAACTTGATGAGCTCAACGATTTACAAGATCCGTCCAAAGCGATGCTAGGCCGAAGAATGAGCGAGTATGGTATTGCTGGCGCCCAAAGAGCCTCGCCGTACACTCTTGAAAACAGAAAGCTAGAGAATGTGAAGAAGGCTTATTGGCAGAGCTCACTCGGATTCGGCGGATTGTCCGATATTCCTCAGAGCAGGCGCCACTCTTTCGCCGATATACCTGCCCGACAAGGTTCTGTCAGCTCGGCGGTTGGTGAGTCGTTGTCACAACTCGATGCATCTATCCACGAGAGCCTGTCGTCAAATGCGGCTCGGTATAATGAAAATAATGGCTACTCTACTAATGACCATGGTAAGCAATTTTCGTAAATACCCAAAGTGTCTTTGAGCTGCAGGCAGGCATGAATTGATATTCTTATACTAACTGAATGCAGCAGCTTCATACTTTGGAAATCTCACCCAACCAGGCCCTTCTCCATTCAGTCCTTCTGCATACCCTTACGGAAATGTCAATCAATACTCTACTGGCCGCCCTTCATCACCTCATCGAAGCATGTATGGAGTTCCACAGCCTCGACACAATCAACTACTATATATTGTGTTGTTCAAATGTTCGCGCGCAGATGTATTTTATGTTCAAGAGGGCACTGGTCTCTCTGTCAAGCCTGGAGATCTTGTGATTGTTGAAGCTGATCGAGGAACCGATCTAGGCACCGTTGCTAAGGATAACGTGGACTGGGCTACTGCCAAGGAACTCAAAGAGCATTATGCCGAAGAGCACTACAAGTGGCTCATGATGTACTCTCAGGGTGCTGTAGGTAATACTGATGGAACTGGTGCTGGTTTAATGGCTGCTGCCAATGGTATGCAAGGAAGTGCTGTAGGTGGCATGGGACCACCAAGTCAGCACGGCATGCAGGAACCTAACCCAGGAGAGATCAAGCCCAAGATCATCAAGCGCCTTGCTCAGAATCATGAAATTCAAGCTTTGCGTGATAAGGAAGGAAATGAAGCAAAGGCTAAGCGTGTTTGCACGCAGAAGGTGAAAGAGCATGGTCTGCATATGGAGATTCTAGATGCCGAATTTCAAATGTAAGTCAACTAATGATCACATCAGCTATCCCCATGACATAAGCTTACATTCAAATTTAGGGATTGGAAGAAGCTTACGTTTTATTACTTCGCTGATGCCTATATCAACTTCAATTCCCTCGTCACGGACTTGTTCAAAGTATACAAGACAAGAATTTGGATGTCTGCGATTAATCCTGCTTCTTTCGCAAGTCCCGCACTTGGCTTGCAAGCACCAAGCGGTATCGGACCTGGAGCTGTAGGTGTAAATAGAACTACACAAAGTGAGCGTCGACCACAACAAGCCGAGCAACCACAAACATACAACACAACGCAAGCAGGCCGAGGTTATCAAGGTGTCTTTGCACAGCCATTTCAGCCCGCTATGGACAGAAGTTCTGCAGCTGCTCCTGGCTTTCAGCCTCAAGGTTATACTTATGGATATTCTCCATTTGGTTCTACCAGAAATGTCGGTGCTACGAGCGCTTATGGTACTTCGATGATTGACCCATATTCTGGATTCGCAAATACAGCGGACTATCAAGCACCTGGACGATTCCCCTCTCCTCATGGCACTACCCCAACTCATGATGGTAGCGAATACGGTCGACAAACTGGACTCGTTGGTCAAAATGATGGTTGGATCGGAGCTTTCCAGGGCTTGTCCATGGGAACTCGTTAAAATCCATGTTTTGATTGTAACATACGCACGTTGTCGACCTTCTCCTCTGCTCAATCAGACGCAAGTCCATAACAATCATAACCCTAGCCTCTGGTTTTGATATCCTCTTTCATTTCCAGATGGTGAGTCATCATTGGCACACTCCTACAGAACTGGAGACTAGATACATTTTTCTGTTGTAATTATACCACAGATGCCATTCCTCATCGGCCCTGTTTCCTAATTCTCTACATGTTCTAGATGAACATACTATCTACACATTCATTTATTTCGTTTTCACATTGCGTTGCACCAGGCGGCACATTGTTTTTATGGGTTGGGAGATACTAAATACTATGAAGACATACTGGAATAACGTCTTCTGAAATACTACAATTTTATTGCAATTTGATCATAGAGGTTAATTGAGAAGGTTTCATTCGGAATGGGGATTCTTCTGGATTTACTACATAATCGGAGACAGGTATCGGATTCGTACACAACACACTGGACATACTTTTCTACTTTTTCAATTCGTCGATACCATTTTTGTTCCACAGTTAGTCAGGAGGACTATATCTTTGCGTCTTTGGGACCCTGACGCCTTACCACGACTTAACGAGTACAAAAACAACAATTTTCAAGAACTCCATTGATAGATAGATCTTTCAAAATACGGCGGTGTCAAGTGGGGAAAAAAGAGATTGGGTAAATTTGCAAAGGATAATGGATGGATGCATGTCTTTCTTTTTTATTTCTTTGTGGTTTTCGATTTTTTTTCTGGCCTGATTTGTTACCTTGTTGTGTCGTTTTTTGTTCTTCTACGATTCAAGGAGGCGGAGGCGGAGAATCGAATCGTCGATGGAATGGAATGGAAACTTTTTGATGCATGTTTACAAGCATTAGGGTTATGGATAAGGGAATCGGTAGCAAGAATGGACTTCATACATTGGGTTGTCTATTTTGAATCGTGATAATCAAGATGTGATGTGATACGATATGTATACTTGTGATGACCACACAGTACAGATGAGCAGGTTGAGCCAAAACACATAAGCAGCGATAATCCATATGACACATTTCTCAAACTTACAGCCTCTCTCCCTCATAAACCTAAATACGCATTTCTTCCCGTCGACAAACACGCCAAATCGAAAGAATCGAGCAAACCGGCACCTCGTGGTGTAGCGGTTAGGAGTGTCACACCGGGTCCTAAAAAAACCCCCCCCAAAGTGGGGGGTTTCTCCTTCCGCCCCTAAAAGGGGCGGGTAAGGTTTTGCTGGTTTGATTGTAGGATGGAGATTTTTTGGTTTTTATATATATATATACATTAATTTTGAATCAGGAAATAAAAGAGTTTTTTCTCGAGAGCTCCTCCCTTTTTGTGGGTTCTTGTGTTAATTTGAGAAGGGAAGGAAGTAAGAGAGTGAAGTGAAAGTGTCGCGACTTGCGAGCAGGGAGGAGGCGGGGAGGAAGTGGATGAGGGATGGATGGATGGATGGGACCCACTTTGTTACTCTTTCACTTTCACTTTCATCTTTGACTTTGATCTTAAATCCAAAATTCATCTCGAAATTTTATGTTTACTTTTATGCTTGGGAATGTTTGATTGATGTTTAGGTACTAGGTACTTGGTTGAAATTTGAATACCCAGTACATACTCAATATCGATCGTCTCTTGTCTGGGTTTAAGTCTCGTTTCGTTTCGTTTCGTTTCATTGTCTTGATTGTTGATTGAGTCTCTTGGGATTCGGATTCGGATTCGGGGTTGTTTCTACGACGTTGACCCGCCTTCATAGGAATATATCATCACGATGGTGCGCAAATCAAAACGAAAGTCTGAAGGTGAGTTGGTTGTTGATTTTTTGTGTGTATGGGGTGTTTTGTTTTGGGTCTGCTGTTTCTAGGGTTATTGGGGATTGGGGATTGAATGGGAAGTGTTCTAACTTGATGTTTTGTGTGTTTGGGATTTTCAGTTTTGTTGCTCTCATTAGGGATTAGGATTGAGGATTGAATGTGGAGTTTCCTAACTTGATGTTTTGTGTGTGTGAAGGAGATTTGCCGAATTCGAGGGTCAAGGCTAGAAAGAGTGGCGAGGATCGAGAGGAGGATTTTAGTGGTGTTGTGGATTGGGTTGATAGGAAGGGAGTGAAGAGAGATGGTAGGGAGAAGAAAGATTCTAGTGGTGTTGCGGATCAACTTGATAAGAAGAGTTTGAAGAAAGATGGTAAAGAGAAAAAGAAGGAGAAGAAAAAGGAAAGAATGTCGGAGCCTGCGAGGATTGGTGAAAGGGAAGTGGGAGAGAAGGGAGAAGATGAGGATGAAGATGATGGGGAGGAGGATTCGGGACAAGAGGCTAGCAAGTATGTGCAGTGTTTAGGATGTTTATTGTGTGCAGAGTGTGTACTGACTCATTTTTGATAAAGTGAGTTTCTGGAACTCGATAATCTGGAGAGAAAGAAAAAGAAGAGTGCTGAGAGAGCGAAAGCGCAGTTTATGGAGAAGTTTATTGGAGCTGTGGAGAGAGATGTGAAGGACTTCAAGAAATCGGCGGCAGGGTTTGAGAGAGAGGCGTGAGCATAACTGTCCTGGCTAAGAAGTTGAGATGCACACTGACTCTTCTAGTTCGGTTGAAAATAAGGATTTTCTGGAAGGTTTTCATGCTGCTTATTCTCTGTCGGCACCATTCAAAACTGTCTCTTATGATTTCTCTTTGAATCATAAAAGAGGTCGAATCATGATTACACGGGCGTTGGAGCTAAGTTCGCAATTTGACAACCTGGCAAAGAAAGATATTGCAAAGGAGTTGGCAGGATTGTTTGGTAACAAATGGAGCAAAGAGGATGAAGAGATTGCTAAGATGCTTGAACTGGGAAAAATGGTTGGGCTGAATAAGTTCGAGTGTATTGTGAATGCTTCGAAGCCGGAGATCTTGGAGACAGATGCACTTGAAGTTTCGAAGAAATTCTTTCCGGATATTGCAGAGGAAAGTAATTCTGGCTGGGGCAAGGAGGCGAAGAAACAGGAGAGGGCTCATAAGAAATTGCTTAAGTCTTTTGAGAGCAGGAGTTGAGTGGTGGTGAGAGGGGGCAGGGAATGGAATGAGATGAGATGGGAGTTTTGGAATTTGCTTGGGACCTTTTCTGACTTCGCTATCGTGGCTGTTGCGATATGTAGCAGTATTATAGTATGCATACTATCCTTTCTTCTATTGTCTTTGGGATGTCATCATATAGTAGCTATAAAATGAATGCTATACGTACTATCTAACGAATTCGGCTAAGTATCACATGGATGTGAGTGAAGAGATTGCAGCTGAATACTTGGCTGATGCGAGGAGTACTGCGTTAGGTCTGGCGATATCCTGGGGGCAATGAAGAAGCGTAAGTGAAATTTGTTCGAGGGATATGGGGCTCAGGTGGAGAATATGAGGAGGTGCATTGGGTTGCAAAATGAGATGAGAATTGAGAAAGAGGGGCGATGACTTACAGGAGTCGGGGGAATGAGTAGAGCATTTAGTTGTTAGTTATATGATGTGTCAGGTGTGCTGGGTGGGTTTAGATGATTTAAATGATGGTTATTGTTTGCTAGTTTTTGTTGATGGGTGATGTGGTTAATGATGTTGATACTGAGGCTGATAGCCACCACAGAGTATACGGTAGTGTCGTTAATCTGATTTATTTGTAGCGAGGTGAGGGAGGGGGGGGGGGGGAAGTGAAGGCATTGAGGGTTGAGATTCTTGTATGGGGATGGGGAGATGGGGGAGGAGGGGATGAGAGCGGGATGTATAGAGGGGAGGGAGAGAATTGGAATTGCGAAGAGATGGAGGGGAATCTAGCGAGGTATATGAGCTCTGTTATCTACTTCAGTGTTGTGAGATTGTGGAGAGGGGAATTCTAGAAGTTCGGCTTTGAGTCCTCTTTGAGTATTTGGGTGGATAGGTAGGGAGGGAGGGAGGTAGATGTGTTTGCGGAAATGGTCATCTGTGTTTGATGGGTACTGTCTAGGTAGGTAGTTGTGTTGATTCGAGGAGTCTCTTTACGGACGGTACACCAATTTATTCATACAGAATTGGCTATACATTGAAAACCTGAGTATTTCAAAGTATGGCATACGGATAAAATCGGTAAATCTGAATGCCTTCAATGTATGATATGTGGTCAATTAGACGCTTCCAAATGTGTCTACAAAATTTTCGATAAGGAGTACAAGATAATGATTATTTAACTTGATGTTGAATTCCAAATTGAGTGTATTTTTGGTATCATGGTTTACTGGACGTTGGAGTGGAGCCGGCTGTTGGATAATGTGGAGAAATTTGGGATATGGTGCCTCAGGCTTGCACGAAAATTTACCCGAGCACGCTAAAAAATCGCACATTGATTTTCACAAAATTGATTCTCCAGAACTTTTTCCTTTTAGACAACACGACAATCGACGCCGCCGACAACTCCCAAAATCAATCAAGGTCAGTAAATCGAGTTCGTTCGAATACAGATTTTCATATAAAACATCTGCGACGAGGAATTTGTTTCTAGAATTGCAGATGTTCATCGGAATTGGGTTTCTTCAATTTTTCTCCGCAGCTCGACCACAAATTCGATTTTGATGGTTTCTACATCGAACTTTGCTAACGTTAATTCTCCCCAAACAGATGGGTGCTCTTAAATATCTCGAGGAAATTCAGAAGAAGAAGCAATCTGATGTGCTTCGATTCCTTCTCCGTGTCCGATGCTGGGAGGTAAGATAAAAACGACCCCAAGAGACGATCTCGATCGACTTCAATTATTCGAAAATTTGGTCTTTGGACAAGCAAATTGGAATATTGTGGACATCTTTGATGTCTCTGCTATACACTCGTTGAACTTAGCTGAGAGTGCATAATATAGCTCCGACAATTGAACGTCGTTCACCGTGCTTCTCGTCCATCCCGCCCAGACAAGGCCCGCCGTCTCGGTTACAAGGCCAAGCAAGGATACGTTATCTACCGTGTCCGTGTTCGTCGTGGTGGCCGCAAGCGCCCAGTTCCAAAGGGTGCCACCTACGGTACGTTCTATCCCACTTTCGACAGAGGGAAAGGTTCTTCAGCAAATATTACATTTACTAACCCAAATTTCGCATGATAGGTAAACCAACCAACCAGGGAGTCAACCAACTCAAGTACCAAAGATCCCTCAAGTCCACCGCTGAGGAGCGTGTCGGTCGTCGTTGCGCCAACTTGAGAGTTTTGAACTCCTACTGGATCAACCAAGACTCCACCTACAAGTACTTCGAAGTCATCCTCGTTGACCCTCAACACAAGGCCATCCGCCGCGATCCCCGTATCAACTGGATCGTCAACCCAGTCCACAAGCACAGAGAATCTCGTGGATTGACCGCCACCGGAAAGAAGTCCCGTGGTCTCGGAAAAGGTCACGGTTTCAACAAGACCACCGCTGGCCGCAGAAAGACCTGGAAGAAGCACAACACCCTCAAGTTGCAAAGATACAGATAAATGTAATCAGGGGCTGGTTAGGTGTTGTTGCTTGCTTGGGCAATGGGATGAATGGATTATTTTATGGCCTCATGGCGCACTGGTAGTTAATGCAAAAATGCATAGCTTTCCCATCATACCCAAAACTTTTATGAATTTACGAATCTTCTACTATGTGAAAGGATCATGGATATTTTGGATATTTGTTCTGTGACCAATGAAAATGTGAATACATGGGATGAATTTAAATACAATTTCACTCTTTTGGGAAGCCAAGAAATGATTGTGTTTTTTCCCTACACATTCTTCTCTTCCCCATATATATTTCATAACAAATTTTAAAATCCCATCACGAACATGTAATGTAACACAAACACACCTCCAAATCCTAACTTATTTTTTCGATAAACTCCGAGGTCGTTTCAACATGTCTCGTATTCATTCTTCCTCCATTTCTTCTTGTCAACCAGGGAAGGTTTTCTCATTTCTTGGCAAAGGAATAACACATCCGTTTTCAAGCCATTCCAATCATGCATAAACTACCACTTCACTACCTTGACACTACTAGCACTACCACTACTAGGTCGTACATCAAATCCAGGGAGCCAGGCATTTCTTGTGGGGAAACCTACCTAAGCCCACATCCATCCCAACATGTACTGAGATAAACCTGCAAGATTAACAATATAAATTTATACGATAACGGTAAATAACCAATCCATGTTTGTTGTGAGAGAGAATCCCCCTTTGGAGATTTAGAACGAAGGTCTAAATCTAATGCAACATTCACTACTCGTAATCTTAGATGTTAATTTCATGAGAGTACTTTTAGGAAAGAGCCCGAGACCACTTGCCCCTAAAGTTCAAGAACGAACGGACGGACTCTCGATTACGAAAACAAAGATAACTTGGGTATACTACACGAGAAGGGAACTGAGCTACTGCCCTCGCACAACATTCACAATTGATTTCGCAAAGTACTTTTGGAGGACCCGATGGTCAAACTAGAACGCCTGCACTTCGCAGACAGTGTTTGAAAACAATAAAATGGCACCTTGGTCTAGCCGCCTACTTGCTTCCTCAAGCGCACGGATCGATTCTGGCTCGAGCATTGCTACCGTTGGACCAGCACCTGATTCGCCGACGAAAATAAGAGGGAGGGCAAAGATTACGGAGGCAGATATCTTGGATAATGCTTATGGTATTCCGACATTGACCACGGCCGGTCGGCCAGGTCCCTCGGGTTCGAATTCCTCAAATACCCCCAAACCGACTTCGAGCCACGGGAGATCTATGAGCCATCCTTTCCCGTCGCTGTTTAATAGCAAGAAGGTGACCACGCCAACACCACCTGGAATTGGATTTTTTGACGAAGATGATATATCACCGGTACATAATACAGGGGCTAGGTCTTCGAGGGTGCCAGACAAGGATTTTTTGACGGGAAAGTGTATGACTTGCAATTCGAGCGTGAGTTGGCCGAAAGAACTTCATACGTTTCGGTGCAAAGTTTGCATGACAGTAAATGATCTTCAGCCATACACTCCAGCTCAGAATGATGGACTCAGGGTGGCAGGAGGTGGTAAAACTACGACTTACTCTGGGTTGAGTAAACCCCAACTCTCTAGAGGTATGCTATGAGTGGGATGATCTATTATAGATCTCATATCTGACCTTTATAGTGGCGCCATTATCTGTTGAGAAAACTCGAAGAATTGCAGAACGATGTATAACTACCTATCTGATCAATCGACTAAAGCATGACGAAGCCGATGCCTCTAATACACTGTCAAGCCCGCCAAGGTCACCTACATTCGAAACGACGGAATCCCCACAAGAATATCAGTATCCCAGACATTTCAATCAACCTGGTTCACAAGCACTTCCCATTAGACCTCCTCCTCCTGGACGCGGAAACAGTTCTGGAGACCGCCCAAGTATAGACGCCCAAAGACGGCCAGGTTCACGTTCAATGCCCTACTCAACTTCATCCCCTGGCAGTTTTCTTGGCGCCCATATGGAAAAACGTGATCGAATGGGCTCTGGTACTTACTCCAAACAATTGGCTAGTCAACCGCCAAGTAGAAGTCCTCCACATCCGCCGGGAAGATTTGACGAACCTTTGCGTGGAAGACAAGATAATGTCACCAGAAACCTCTTTAGACCCTTGGAAGAATATATTATAGCATCATTTAGCCAGTTCGATTGTATCAATACTTCGTTTAGTACTATGCGACAACATCCCAACCCTAGGGCAGGAAGTCAGAGTGGTCTAAAGAATTTCATGGCCACTATTCCAGACGAAAATGATCCGCAGTCAGAGACTCCTTTGGAAGAACTTGATCCCCGAATGTTGATGTTGGGAGATATTGCAGAGAATGGTTCTTGGTGGACTGGAAATCAGAAAGAAAGCCCTGAAAAATCTCGCGGCCAACGACCCGTTGAAACGATACGCACGAATCCTCATTGCGATCTTACTACAGTTAAATCGCCTCGTATTGACTGGCCCGATCTCAATGAATGGTATCATGTCGTATCGAACCCGGGAAGAATTTGGCACCGCAAACTGGATGAATTGATATCACGTAGATCCAGCCCGG